GCGGTAGAAACGACCGCCATAGACGCCAAGATTGTGGAGACGGCGAGGCTCCCCGCTCGGCTTTGCAACTGTGAACGCCGACGTCACGTGCCGACTGGCTGGCGCCAGCCTGGTGCGTACCATGACCTCGTGCACTGCATATCGTAGGGTACTGAACTTCACAACTCGCAGCTCTTGCGGGTGAGCTCCGAGACCGGCTTGCCGGAGAGGCTCAAAGCGCCTTGGCACGGTGGCCATGTGCCACAGGGCCGCTGGAGCCGACCGCCAAGGGCAGGACTTTCGCGACGGACTCTTCCACAGCTCCTTCCGCGTTCCCTTGAACTGCGCCTCGGCCAACTCTTGTACCTCTAGCTCGCCAGGCGAAGGCTTGGACACCCGACGGCGCGCGACGATCGCATGTGGATCTGAATGTACGGCAGAATGTCCTTCTTGAGCACCCGGCTTTGCAAGCTCTGTTGCCCATTCGTCGCGATCGAGCATGAGAGGGCCAGGTGCCCGAAGCATGCGTCTCATGGCCCCCAGGCCCTTGCCCGAGAGAGGACGGGTGAGCCGGTGGGCAAGAGAGAAGTCATGACGACCCAGCGCTTCTTTCAGATCCTCCCTCCATGCAGCCCTCTTCCTCCTGTGGTCGCTGCGCCGATCCCGGCGGATGGTCCGCGAGCGCGCCCGGACGTCTGCGCACAGAGCCTGCGCACGATCAGACGTACAGCCGAGAGCCACCAATTGCCGGGCAGCCGCTCTCGTCTCGCGCGCGCGTCGCACTCGCATTGATTCAGGAGCACGCGTGCCCGAGGGGGGGGCCTGTACGAAACACTGCTCCCCTGCCTCCAGCAGCGCAGAGTTGAGCATGTCGAAGAAAACATCTGGGGCGACCTGTTGAGCGGCGCCGCCAATGCTATCGACTTGTGGCAGACGGGCCTCCACAGCATCAAGAGAATCAGCACGACAGGTACTATGCTCAACCGCGGAGCTGAGTTTGTCATGGTCCCAACGCACAGGAGGCAATCGTTGGTTCCCATCGCGAGCTGGTCCTCCATGGGTCCCGTGCTCGCCGTGCTGCAGCTCCAGATCAGCTTTTCAGACGACTGGTCGATGTTCACGGCGCCCAGGGAGCTCGGGGCATACATTCTGGAGCCGATCGCCAGCGCAAGTCCAAACCTTGGAGTGCACAACTGCAGGGCGGCATCGGCGATCGATGCACACGTAGTCAACCGTGCTGGTGGACACCCCACTGTTGTTGTACAGTCGGGGCCCTGAAGAAGGAACCCTTTTCGTTGGGGAGGGGCTCCGTGTTCCTTAAGTGTTTCACAGCTTGCCTCGGGTTTTCCTTATGTTTTCGATGGGAAATCGAAGGTTAACTTATGGGAGAAAAGGGCCCCGTTCCTTATTTAGGGTTCCTTAGGTCAACGCCCCGACGGTAGCAGGTCGGCGGGTTGGCAGATAATGGTTGGTGGCGACCAGGGCGCGATCCTCAAGCAGTGTGGCGAACATGCGGCCAGGAGAGCGATCCCCAATGGCAGCAGTGGTGTCCATACGATACGTACTCTGAGAGCTCCCGCGTGTTCCCGGGCGACGTGCACGCTCGAGGCGGTGCAGGAAGAGTCGCCACGGTGCGCCCTCCTTTGGCACGCGCTTGCCTGCCAGGCAGGGCCAGACCTCTCTGCACCAAGCTTCGGAGGAGGAGGGATCGTAAACCAGATGGGGGCGCAACCGCCGACCAACAACAAAAAATCGAGCCTGGCGCTCTTCACGCGGGCGACGGCGATCCGGCCAGCGAGCTTCCCGGTCGGCGCAGACCACGTCCTTGTGACGGAGGCCCTGCGGAAATGTCTGCGGCGGAGGAGCTAGGCGAGGCCAGTGCAGCGCTGCCCTCGGCTGGCGTGAAGCACATAATGGTGAGAGGTCTTACTCCACTCCCGATGTGAGTCTCCGTTCCAACCTGTGCCGACCAAGTAGCCTGCAACTTCGCAGCGTAACTCTCGTGACATGTCGTGGAGACGTCCTGCTTCCGATAAGCTATGCGGGTTGTACACGAAATAGTGCATCCAAGGTAGCGAGGGCGGCGCCGCAGGGTTAGCATCGAGAAGTGGTGACAAGAACCATCGATATGAAATGGTACGATGCACAACATGTGACATGCTCGGCAGCCTGGCTGGAGCCACTTGGGGGCAGGAGGAGGAAGAAGAGGAGGAGGAGGAGGAAAAACAGAGGAGGAGGAGGAGGAGGAGCAGGGGGAAGAAGATGATGAGGAGGAGGAGGAGGAGGAGGAATGCGGCACGATGAAGATGAGAAGGAGGAAGATCAGTATAAACCCAAGACCCATCCACGATATTGCTAACAGCCCTCCCTCCAAATTCCCTCTTCACAGGCTCCTGCACGGGTTCATTGTCACTGAGGAGAATGCCTTGTTGGAAGACAACCGGTCCAAAATCCGGAAGTGCGCCGGAACGCAATTCTTGAGACCTCAACGCCGCGAGGCACCGTTATTGTTGCGCCTTGACGGTCCTGAATCGCGCCAGAACGCTATTCCTGGGACTGCAACTCTGCGAATCAGCATGGCTGCTGCGCCGTGGCATTCCGACATCGTGCCAGAGCACAATTTCTGGCACGTTGTCCACAAGGATCCTCGAAGCTGCTGGGCCGAGGCGAGAGCCACACTGTGGAAAGGAGCCGCCCTCCATCCGGAGAGTTCTGGCAAACCTTCAAGACGAAGGCGCGCGGAGCCGAGGCGAGGGCGAGATCTTGACAAGGCAGCCGCCCTCCGTCCGTGAAGCTCCTGCACATGTTAAGCGGATGCGCGCGGCGCTGAGGTGAAGTCGGGCCTGTCCCTCTACAGGGGGGAAAATTCCCAAATAGTGAAAAATGGTCCGGGGACGAGTTGTGGAGAATTGTTTTGATAATTGGTTTGGCATTTGTGGGGTATCTTTCTCTTCCAAAATCCGCCTGTAGGGGGACACGCCCGACCTAAGGCTAAGGCGAGAGCCACATTTTGGACATGGGAGCCGCCCTTCGTCCGTGAGACTGCCTCGAATTTCTAGCACTCAGGGTCGTAGTTCTGAGGGAGTCTGGAGCGCAACGCTTGGCCCGCCCTTTCGACCGGCCTCGGGGTGCGACAGGGAGGAGTTACCTAGACGGAACAATCTGGAGGTCGGAAAGGGGTGTGGCATAAAGGGGTATGACGCGAACCGTGGAAATTGCGATGCTATCTGCGATCAATAACATCGCCTGAGTTCCCCTTACATAAAATATAATCAGCGCCACCCCCCTTTATACCATACCCCTTTCCTACCTCCAGAAACAAGAATGGAGGGAGGGGGCAGGAAGGGAGGAAGGGAGGAACGGACGATGGCAAGGAGGATGAAACGTCGGTCTTTGGAGATGTGTTGTGGCGAGAGGCCATCTCAGGGGCTCTCTTGGGGGCCCCGTGGGGCCTCTTTGGGGGCACTCTCAGGGCCTCCTTGGAGTTTGTTTTGGAAGGCTTGGGGCCCTCTTGGGGTTGATTGGAGGGGTCTGGGAGGCTCCTTGGCCCTTGAAAAGCAGCTCATTTTTACAGCAGGAAGTATGACCTTGTGTTCTTGCTCGGCATCGTGCCCGCGCCAGCGCCATAATGTTACTTTCGGATGTCGCTCTTCTGAGCTTCGCGCACTGCTGTCGAAGCGTGTGTCGAGCAGCCCGCCTGCGCGATTCGACCCTGTGCACGCGTATCGCCCCGGTGATCGCGGTGATCTTCAGCTCCTCGCCACCCGGCCCAGCTGTGGCCAGCTTCGTCGTGTCAATATTCGTTGCTTCGGTCACCGCGCGGGCCTCGCCACGACGAACGAGGCCCCAGCCTCTTGAGCACCTCCTCCGAGCACGGTAGATGAATCGACTAAGGGACCAGCCTGCCAGCGGGTGCCCCGATGGCCTTTGGGAAGCCTGAGAAGTCTTGGGACACCTAGGAAATCACAGCCTCCGTTGTGCCATCGCTTTGCGGCTGCTCGTCTATGACAGTCGTGCGGTTAGCTTGGTCGCGTTGAATGGCCAACCCACCGTGGCGTTGCATCCCAGAGACGGCAGCTGCCTGTGGGGTTGATCGTGTGTGAAACGAAGTATTGCTTATAGCATAGATTTGTGTTCCTCGCGGGGTCCCTGTACTAGACCCCCAACGCTTCGACTCGGTCGAGGTGCGGCTCGGCCACTGCCGTCGTGCACCGAGGCTTCCGCCCTAGCGACCGCGTCGCCGTGGGTAGCTGACCTTTTTCCGTCCAGCGGAATTCGCGTTCTGTGGAGCGCCGTGGAGATCGCCAGGTCCGCACCGCAAGTCTGGCGGCTCGCACAAGGAGGTGGCGCGAAGGCGCCAGCGTTGTAAGAAGGCCGGTGGTTCTAAGAAGGCAGGGGCCTTCAGGGCGCCGTGCCTTTGAAGAAGGCTTCTTAGAAGCATGGAGGGCTTCTGAGAAGCCACTTCCCTTCATACAATGCCTCCCTCCCCAGCTTCTGAGGATCTCCCCCTCGCGCCACCCCTTGTTTTGCGCCGCCAGCAAGTTTGAAGCATCGCGTAATGGTCGCACTCACGGTCGTCATCGTTGGAGGACAGCATGCGTGATGGCAGCGAGACGTGATCGAGATTGGCCAAACACGGCAGCTCAAAAGTTTGCAGCTCGGCGCACGGGCTTCCCGTTTTTAGTCATGGGTCAAGGCTACGGAGCCGGTATCACTTCGTGTGAGCAGATTATACGTCACAGTTTGAAATATAGTTCAGAAAGGCACTGCAAAGTGGGTGGGGAGGACGATTGTGAGGACGAGGATGTAGAGAAGAGCGTCAAGATATGAATTGAGATGTGCGTTTGTGTGTGGTGGCGAGGGTGGAGGTGTTCATGTCGTTGTTCTCTTGTTCAGGAGGTGGGTGTCCACTGAAGACGAGAATCCCACTGAGGATGTGTTGGCAACGCGGATTTGAAACATGATGCGCCCGCAAAGTTGAATGGCCATTTCAGCGTTGAGTTATTGATTCGCATCCTCAGGGTACACCAGTACCAGTTCTGACACCAACGCCCGCGCCGACTTTGGCACCCACCCCAGTACCTGAAGTGCCCACGCCAGAACCGGCGCAAGAACCAACACCAGCGCCTACGCTGGAGCCGCTACCGGAACCAACACAAGCGCCAACGGCAAGTTCCGCCACGGAGACGGAGACCACGGTATCCACTTCGAGTTCGCCAACTGATATTGCAACATCCGTGTCGTCAACGACGTC